TATATATATATATATATATATATATACATATATTTACTAATACATATATTCATATATTCACTAGTATAAAACTGTTATAAATATTTTTTATATCAAGACAGAATTATCAGCAAACCTTGCATATACATACATGTTTCAATTTACCACATTGTCAAATAAAAATAATATGATTCATGTAAATGGAAAACAATTTTTGTTAAATTTAAACTAACATTATCGATATTAGAAATATTATTTCGATATTATAAATATATTTTGTACATATAATTAAATAGTTCGAAAACAAAATTTAAACTATGAAATTTTTGAATTTGTAAATTATTTTAGTTATATTTTAAAATTATCAGTTTTTATATATTTGAATTTAATTGACTTTGAACCTAGCATTTTTAATTTTTGTAACTTTTTGAACTGTTCTAATTTTTGGGAATTTTAGTCCTATAATTGTAGCCAATGTTTTTCCTTTCTGTCTTGGTAATCTCAGTGAAGTAAGTTAAAAAATTCCATCAAAACTTGTCACAAATTCCAATAAATTGTTATGGAACATTTATACCAGCATAATCTTTCATCAAAACTTTATAATGATAGTTCTTAATTTGAAAATCAACTACAGATAAAGAAAAAAAAACATTTTTAATTATTTTTATCTTCAGCATTTATTTATTTTTTTATGTTTATTTATCATTTTGTCAATCAAGACTTACAAAGTCTTTATCAGGGCATGTCTAAAAAAACAATACTATTCAATGTTTTGTGCACACATCGTTTGCCTATTGAAACATAACAAAAAATGTAATCAAATTTGAAACGGATTATTTTTTAAATTATTTTTTTGTGTTTATTTAACAGCAATAAGAACTATTAGTTGTTCTATGAGTCCGCGTGCAATAATCGGGAAAGAAGCAAAAATATTATCATTAGGGGCATGGCCCGGTACAGCGATCGCAAGTATTATAAAATATTTATTTATACAAATCTGTAAAATTAAAAATCATTTTTATTTTTGTAATAAACTGTGCAGTGTGTGAGAAAATGGTCACGAACGCTGCACGAGTTTGTACATCTTTGACCCAAAATGTTTGAATCTAAATCGTAAGTTAGAGGGTTAAGTACATTAATCG